CTTTGCTTTTCTCTTCGATTTCCACTACTGGACCCTTTAAAAAAAATAAAATACAACAAATATTTTTCGTTAAATAAGAAGTTCTAATCATTCATTATATCAACTCATCTCTACAATTAGTTTTGTACTTTAACCCATGCATAAACTTTAGTAAATGAGATAAAGAATAATATGAGAGAAATACTATTATTTCTTCTATAAATTTAAAAATTCATCAAACAGAGGTATTAAAAGTTTGTTCTTCAAACTAAAAAATCCATAATCAGCGTCATGTCTTTAACTCCAAGTAGAAAGCTAGACCATTTAAAATTTTGTTGTAATAACGAAACTCAAAGCCATCAAAGCACTCATTTGGAAGATATAATTCTTGAAAAAACATGTTTTCCAAAACAAAGTTTGAGTTCAATTCAAACCAAAATTAACTTTTTTAATAAAGAATTAAGTATCCCACTCATTATTGGTGCTATGACTGGTGGAAGTAATGACGTTAAAATAGTTAATAAAACATTAGCCATTGCAGCAAATGAAACAAATGTAGCTGTTGGAGTTGGATCACAAAGGTTTGGACTAGAAAGTAATGATGAAGAAATACTTGAAAGTTATCGAGTTGTAAGAGAATGTGCACCAAATGCTTTTATTATTGGAAATATAGGATCAGTTCAATTAACAGAATATGGAGAAGTATTAGATGACTTAATAGCTATGATTAAAGGTGATGCCATTGCGGTCCATTTAAATTGGGAACAAGAATTAGTTCAAGCAGAAGGAGATAGAGATGGAATTGATGTCCTTCGTTTAAAAGAAATTATTTCAAAATGGAATGGTACTGTTATTGGTAAACAAGTTGGTCATGGAATGATGAAAAAAGATGTAATGATTTGTCAGGAATTAGGTATGAAGGCAGTAGACATTGCTGGAATAGGTGGCACATCTTTTGCTGGTGTTGAATGTCTTCGTGCTCAAGAGAAAAAACAATACCAACAAAATAGACTTGGTAAATTATTATGGGATTTTGGTGTTCCTACTGCAATGAGTATTTGGGAAGCATCTCAATGTTCACTTCCTATTATTGCTAGTGGTGGTATTCGTAATGGTTTAGAAATAGTTAAGTCAATGACATTAGGTGCATCATTAGCTTCAATAACAAAGCCATTTGTTTCCTTGTATTCAGAAGGAAGTGAAGCATGTATCAACTATATTAATTCAATAAAAAATGAAATACAATCATCACTATTTCTTTGTGGATGTCCAAGTGTTAATGAAGCACATTCAATTCCAAAAATTATTACTGGTGAATTATATCATTGGATGAAACAACGCAATAAAATGATTACAAACAATATTTAATTACATTTCATTTTTAATTAATTGAACAATTTCGTCATAAGTCTCATTTCCTTTTACAAATTCAAATTCATGACTTTCTTTTTCACCTAATGGTTGTTTAAACATAGCAATTGATTGGTGTTGAAGAATTTCAATTGCTGTAATTCTTTTTAATGGGTCTATTTGTAACATATCATAAATTAATTCTTGTGAAGAAGAATCAATTTTTAATGTTCTAAAAAAATAAGGTAAAATAGTCTTGGTTTCTTTTAACCCATATGATTCATTTACTTCTTCATTGTTATTAATTTTAATTATTTCTTCTGGTTTAATTAATGACAAAATAGATTTTTTAATAGAACTTACAGAATGACCTTTAAATGGTGGTGTTCTTAAAATCATTTGTGTATAAACACAACCCAATTGCCAAATATCGATAGTAGTATTTTCTTCAACTCCTTCATAAAAATATTCTGGTGGCATATAAATTTTGGTACATACAGTTTGAATCTATCATATTATTTATTTTAATATTCATATTAGAAATTCAAAAACAAACTGTTGGATATGATTCTTTTTGATTTAAACATTTACATGACCCAAAATCACATAACTTTATTTTAAACCTATCATTGATTAATATATTACTTGGTTTCTACTTAGTTAGTTCTATCTAAAGAAAACCAGGAATAAATATATTAAACAAACCACATCTCGATGAATAAAATTATTAATATGTAAATAATATAATGCAGAAGCCAATTGTGAAACAATATATTTCATTTGTGTGGATGCAGTAATCCGTCCTGATTTGATACTCTCTGATAAATTTCTTGGAAAAAGTTCATAGACTAGAAAAACAGTATTAATACATTCAATTTGAGCAAAAAGATACTCTTCTAAATGAATAATATTTTCATGGTTTAAATATTTTAAGAGTCTAATTTCTTGTAGTACTCTTAGATTATTTATTCTTGATTCTCCAACTTCGATTTTTTTACATGCTAGTAACTGTCCTGATTTTTTGTGTAAAATAGAATAAACTATACCTTCTGACCCTTTATCAATCAGTCCTTGTAAAGCATATCCTTGGGTGAAGGGATCTTCGTATGAATTGTTTTTTATTTGTATTGTACGGCTATTCATTGAGTAATAATCCTAGTTGTTTTATTATTAAGTTCTTTTGTCTTTTCGTTTCACCAAAAGAATAAAGATAATAGTCACGTTAAAATAATTCTGAAACGATTTTTTCTTTGGACAAATCTATTTTTATTTGTTGTGAAGTTTTATTTTCTCAAACTCCTTGTAGTTAAAATATATATAATATTTCTGATTTATGATTTGTTTTGAAACTTATCATTTTTGTGTCTTGTCAATCTCAAAGATTTTCACTCCAACATGCAATGTCCTGTTCAAGTCAGTTTTAATAAATGCATTGGTTGTTTACAGTGCATTAGGGTATGTCCCACAAAAGTATTAACAAGTACTCATATGAAATCAACAGTATCTTTTCCTGAACGTTGTATTAGTTGTGGTTGTTGTTCATCAGTTTGTCCTGTTGGTGCAATTATTTTTAATGGTGTTTCCCCACAAAAGATTGACGTGGAGTCTTTTGGTGATGTTATTCCTGTATTGAAGAACACTGAGGGAAAAGTAAATAGTGATGATGAAGAAGTGCCTAAGAAATTAATATCACAAATGATAGAGAAAGCCAAATATTCTATCCAATCTAATAACTATAGAAAATTAGAATTTAAAGTTCTTACTGATGTTGATCCTAAATATCATCAATTAGTATGTACTATAGGAACCGAAAAAACTTATGATGATGATGTTAAATTTTTATCAACACTATCATTGATATTAATTCAGAATAATATTCATTATGAATGGACAGAATTTACAGACCCAACTCAAAATATTACTTGTGCTTTAGCAATTGGGAGACCTAAACTTCAACATAACTAATTTATTTTTAATTATTAATCATTTAGGTAGCTTTGGTCTTTTTCCTTCTTTGGTTGAAGATTTTTCAGCACGTTTTTCCCATTTACCTTTACTTAATTTACAAGGACGTGTTCCAATATATTTTCCATTTAATGTTCTTAATGCAAGAAGATATTCATTAGGATCAGAAAAACTAACAAAACCATATCCCTTACTTTTATTTGTGTGTGGATTTATAATTACTCTAAATAAGAATTAACATATTATTTTAATAGACATTATGTAATAACAAACTTTACTTTTTGAACTGATGGATATTTAGAAAAAAATATTTTAAGCATTGTATCATCAACTTCTTTTCCTAAATTTCCTATAAACATACGAAAGTCATTTGTTGGCCAATCAGCCATTGATTCATCTACCCATCTTTTTCCATCAACATTTCTTAAAGTAACACTTTGTTTTTTTTTGTCATCGTTTAGTGTTGTATTTAACTTTAAAGGGTTAGTATTTGTTTGGTATAAATCAGCACACATAATAAAACCTTTTCTTTTTTTGTTTTTTAGTTTCTTCTTCTCTTCATTTTTATTTTTTAACATAAACTTAAGTAACAGCATTTAAGTTTTATGTGTTGTAATAATATTAATGAAAGTTTTATGAATTAAACTGTTCTTTATTATAAAATACAAAAAACTCCTTTCTTGTAGGAAGTCTTATTATATTTATTCAAAAGAAAGAATATATCAATGTATATATCTTATCTCTTATTGAGTATCAAGATAAAGTTATTCGTTTATTATAAAAACTAAAATAATTATTGAATTAATAAAAATTAGTGAATTAAGTATAAATAACTTATGTTGTTCATTCATAAATTAGCTGAATTTTGTTCTGTCCAAATAACTGATCAAAAACACTGGGAATAGATTCTATAATATCACTTGCTATAACCCCTCTATGTTTTTCTGTGAATGCAAATGAGCTACATTCTTTAACTAACGCTGATGCTGCAACTGAACAACAAATTAAATCTTCATCCTGAAAATCTTGGTTTAACTTACTCCAAGCAACAAAAGTAGCAAGACTACCACTTAATACATCACCTTGCCCTCCACAACGTCGTGGAGATCCAACATGTTTAACACGAACAGTATAACTTCCATTTGAAATTTCATCAACTTGACCTTTTTGAAGAATAGTAACTCCTCCTAACATTAAAGCGACTTTATTGCATGGAGTATTATGAGAAACTTTTAGTACATCACAAAGTCTTCTATACTCCATAACATTTGGAGTTAATATAACATTCTTTTTTCCTCTAATTAAGTCAAGGTGATTATTTATTAAGAATAACCCATCTGCATCAAGAATAATTATGATATTTTTAGTTATCGCTTGTTTTAAGATAGAAAGAGTTGCTTCCATCACTGATTCGTCTCTTCCTAGTCCAGGACCAACAACCAAAGCTTGTACTGTGTCTAACCATTTCAATACTTCATTTGTATCATAGTCTTCTTTAAAGAAAGGATGTACTATTAATTCTGGTGAATATGACTTAATAGCTATAGCAGCATCTTGATGACAGAAAATGTGTGCAAGGTCACAACCAACTCTTAAAGCACTTATACCACTAAAATAAGGTGCTCCTGTATATTCTACACTTCCACCAATAATAGCAACCTTACCACACGCCCCTTTGTGAGAGTCGAAGGTTAATTGAGGGATTATAGATTTTAATCTCGCTTCAATAGATAACTGACCTCCCATAATAACTAATAACGTATATTTTTGAGATTTTCTTTTAAATTGTTTAAGAAGAATTTGTTATGACTTCAAATGTATAAAAAGAATTTTAAATGAATTAATACAAATATTTACTATTCAATTATCTAATGTTGTCATAGTAATTATTATATCAACGGTTAAAGAGATAATTGCTAACATGTAAGACCAAAACAATATAGTTGAAGTTGAGTTTGTTCCATTTGGATAACAAACATTAACTACAACAAGACTATTTAATGCTGGAGGTGCAAATGACTCAATTTGGAGAACAAAATACATCACTTTGTTAGATGGTAATATTTCATATTTATATAATAAATAAGTTGCAACCCAACAGATTGTTGGTATTATAACCATTCTAGCGATAATACCAATCATTATTTTCCATGTAGAAATGGTACCACCTCGTGGACCATTTGAAAGTGCTCCTCCAAGAAGGAATAATGCACAAAAAACAGTACAACTACCTAAATAGGAAATACATCTTCCAATGATACTCCAATTACCCGAAACAAGTAAAGGATCTCTAACTGGTTTAATTAACATAAAAATAACACCAAGGATTGCAGCCATTGTTGGAATAGAAAATAAATTTTTAATTGAAAATCTAATAATTTCTGGTAATTTCATCCATATTTTAATAAACGGTTGAGATATACAATAACAAATTTTCTTTAATAATTTATAACAATTAATAAAAGGTCGTGTAAAGGATGAACACCGTTGTTTAGATTCTTGTTTAATTGAATGATTTTCATCAAGTGAGACTCTTCTTTCATTATTACTAATAGTAGCTCCATTAGTGTCATGGACATGTTCATTACTAACATAAATAGTATTGTCAGAGTTATTTGATTGTGGTTGATGATTTTCATTATTATTATTATTATCATTATTATTTTCTTGAATTATATTTTCATTCTTTAATTCATTAACATCCTTTTCAATTTTAATTTCTTTCATTTCTATTTCTTTTTGTTGTAATTTTTGTTCATCACGTACGTTAAAATTAATATAATTATACCCAAGAACAAAGAATGTTATCATAAACGTTAATTGATATGTACAAATATAACTAAAAGCTATATTTTTTGCATCATTTCCTAATTCATCTGTTTCATTAGTTAATGCTTCTACAATTGCCATTGGAATATACATAACATTAGCAAATCCAAGTGTGAAAGCAAAGACTCTATTATCTAATGTAGAAATTCTTAGAATAGATCCAATTATTAATGGTATAAAAAATTCTAATATTCCATGAATTAAACATGCAACTGGTAATATCCATAATTCTTTTAATTCTTTGATTTCATCAATTGCTGTTGCTGTTTGATAAAATACAATTGCAGGCATAAAATAAGTAAAAATTAATTTAGACCAACCCCCTCTCATTCTTTCATCAAATCCAGAAAACCTTGATGCTATAAACCCCATCAATGCAATAAATACTAACTTAATAATAGAATATATTGAACATTTAATTAATGTAGCAATTTCCATGTTCTACTAATAATATTTAACAGTAAGCTTTCTTTCAATTCTTTATTTAAAAAACCCTATTTCTTTTTTCAAAAATTCCATTCTTTGTTTAATTTAATTAACTCCTCTTTTTTTTATTATCTTTCATTCTTTCTTTTGAATTACATTCTCTTCTTTGATGATAATTTTTGTTATATATACAAATTCACAATATTATAATTCTTTTTTATTCTAAGTTCTATTTTTATTTTGATGAAGTTTCGCAAAATGAAGAATTAATTATTTTTGGTAAAAAAGCTATTAATTAAAAAATTTTTTGACTCAATATGAACTTAAAAATATTATATATGGAAAAAAACGGGAAACTCTTTTAATTCTTAAAAAAAATAAGAGATTATTAAGAAAAAGAATTTTCTAATATTCTTCATAGTTCCTAATTTTTTTGTTACCCTTTAACAAACCTGAGCTATCTTCTCAACTTAAAAATCTTAAAAAATAATGAGTAAAGGTAAACAAACTGTCCCTTTAAGTCAAATAGTTGACCATGCAACAAACGAAATTCATCCATCACCTAGTATTAAAGCATATGCTACATTAGCTAAAATTGCTGCAACAATTCCATCTGCACAAGTAGCATTACGTGTTCAATTAATTACAAAAATGAAAGCTTATTGTAATGGATTTTTACCAAAGAAAGAGATGTATTATTGTTTATGTTTAGTAGATTATTTAGTCTTAAATTGTCCACAATTCCGACCACAAGTATTAAATCCAGATTTTGTTACGTTGTTTGAAAGGTCAGCAGATTTTGAGGTTTGTTGTTTTTGTAGGAAATAAATTACAATAATAATAATATTATCATATTCTATAATAAAAAGAATACTGAATAATTTAGAAATGTAAAAAGTCAAAAAAGCCTGGAATAGTTACTGAAAAAGCTATGAGAATTCTTCAAACATGGGGACCTCTTTATCCTAATGAATTATATGACTATCAATTAATGTATGATAAATACATAAGTAAAGGAGTTTATTTCCCAGTATTAGATAAATTACCAGAACAAGCACAACCAGAACATACTGAGACTCTCGCTGATGATTTAGAAAAAAGTACTAAAGAAATCAATGAGTGTAGTGAATTAATTCAAGATGCTTTAGAAAATACTGGAGCGTCAGTTAGAACTCAATCTGTAAAAGCATTATATAAAAGGGCTGTAGAATTAAATAGTAAGTTTAATGTTCTTTTTGTGAAATATATTAATACAACTACAAACACAGAAGAAATTCAAAAATATTCAGAATTAGAAAGCAATTTTACAAGACTTATTGTTCAATTAGCAAATATTATAAATAATCCACAAGGAGAAGATATTTATCGTACTTATACTACTGGTCATATAACTGATAAACCTGAAGATAAACCTACAAAACTTCGATCTTCTCAGGCACCTCTTGACCCTATTTCTATTGCAACATCTTCTGCTCAAAAAGAAACACCTTCTTCATCAAATTTCTCTCGTAAAAATTCTTCATTCCAATTAGCACCACCTCCTTCTCGTGGACAACCTATTCGTTTTAGTAGACAAAATACAGAACCACCAGAAAGTCAATTATTTCAAAACTCACCAATACCATCAACTAAAATATCTATGGAAACACAAATACGAGATGATACTGATTCTGTTGTAAAGAATAGATTTATTTTTGATCAATCTTCTTCAAGTTATCAATCAAACCATGGTCCATTAGATCAACAAAGTTTACTGTAAAACAGTCAATTAGAAATTAAATAATCCTATTTTTTTTTATTCATTATTCATTTCTATTTCAACTCCTAATTGAGGTGATAATTTATTACATTGTTGTTGAGTTTGTGGTTTTATTTGTATTGATGAATTAGTTTTTCTAAGTGCTTTTTCTTCTTCGTATGATGTATATAATTCTTTAAATAATTTACTTGTAATTCTATCAATTTCAGAAAATACTGGTCGTTGTTTTGGGTCATGTGCCCAACATTTTTTAATTAATTCACAAATTCCAGGAGAGAATGATTTTGGAAAATCAAGTCTATGTCCTTGACTTACAAAATCAGAAACATCCCATGAATGAACAAAACAACCATTTCCATATGGTATTTTTCTTAAAAAAACTTCATAAGATACTATTGCAAATGCATAAACATCAATAGGGAATGAGTAAGGTCTATTTAATAAAATTTCAGGTGCCATATACAATGGAGTTCCTATTCCTTTAGTCATTGAATCTGATGCTGAAGAAGATGATACATTTCTTGTTGTTCCAAAATCAGATAATTTTGCATTAACTGTTTCATCTTTACTCATTGATATTACTAAAATATTATCTGGTTTTAAGTCTCTATGAATTATTGAACTAGAATGTAAGAATGTCATTCCTTTAGCAACATCATTTAACATTTTATATGCTAATAAATCATTAAATTCATTCTTTTGATAAACATCTTTTAAACTACCAAATTGTGCATATTCTGTTATTATAGAATAATGGTCAAGAGTATCTACAGCTCCTACAAAATTAATAATATAAGGACATCTCATTTTATCCATCATCAAAACTTCTTTTTGAAATGCTTCAATAATATCTTCAGGCCAAGAAAAATTTTTTGTTTCTTTAATTGCCACTTGAGTTCCTCTATATTTTCCAACATAAACTATTCCAAATGAACCTTCTCCAATAACTCTCTCTTTTTCAAATTCTTGATAATCTAAGTGAATACTATTACAACTTTCACATTCAATAGTTAAAGCAGCATGAAGTTCTTTACCAACAATTATTTCATCTCCTTCACATGAAACAACATCAATAATATCATTAACTTTGGTTGTACATAAAAGTTCAAATTTAATAATAACAGATTGACCAAATCCAGGTTGTAATTTAATATATTTTGGTTCAAAACTAATAGTATATTTATATGATTGAATTTCATTTGGATTAAAAACAAAATATTGTTTCTTTTTTGTTTTATTAGCTACAGTTATTTGTTGAATAATTTCTTCTCTCACTGGAGCTGGTTTATCAGAAAAGCCAAAATCAAGATGAGTATCACTAAATGATATTGGAAAGTTTTCAAATGAAGTAAAGTCATGATTAAAATTTTTTATTCTAAATTTTGTTGATTTTTTTCTTTTTGGTATAACGATAACTAGTATAACAATAATAAGAATAAGAATAATAAATATTATTAATACAATTAATATTACTATTAATATTATTGTTATTTTATTATTATTATTCTTTGTTTCTTCTGAATTACATTTTCCATTACTAAATGACATATTTGATCTACATTGACAATTAGACTCTGAACAATATTCTTTATTATAATTTCTCATTGAAATACTAATTGTTGGATAATTAAAATTAGTTGGAATATTATTTAATCCACCCAACCAAATTGAATTTTTTGATGAACAAACAGAATATCCAAAATATTGATATTCATAACTTCCAGAAATTTTCATTACTTCAACAAATCTTGGTTCATATCCATAATCAAAATAATTATCAAAAAATACATATGCCCCTCCACAATGTATTTTATTATTTGTTGAATATCCTGGTGTTCCAACAACAATTATTTGTCCATAAGATCCAATATTATCAAATGGTTGTTGACTTAATGGTTGAATATATTCAGTAACATTATCAGAATAAAATGGAACATTTGAAAGAATTTCTTCTTTTGAATATTTAGAATTTGGATCAAATGAAACAATTTTGTTTTTATCAGATAAAATACAATATAATATATTATATCTATTTATCCTGACAGCATCATATTGAAATGTTTCTGATGTATCAATACCATTAATTAATATATCTTTATAATAATTAATTGTTCCCCAAATATAATATTCATCTTGTGAAGCATCAAATTGATATAATTTAATATTTTGACCTTTTTTTACAACAACCATTTGACTTCCAGCACTAATATATTCTCCACAATCATATTCAGTAGTAATTTTGGGAGTTAATGTTTCTACTTTAATACCAACTAATTTACCATTTAGACATGTAATTAATGTATCTGTTTGAATATTATCTTTTTCAAAATGTTGAAATACTAAAGGTGCATATTCATCAAATTGACCACTATAAGTTGAGTTAAGATAAATTGTTGGTGTTTCAGAAACAAGACTATAAAGATATAACTCTTGATCATGTAATAACCAAATAGTTTCTCTTATATCAACAATTTGTGGTCTTTTTGGAACTGTTTTAATTCTTAATGTTGCAGTACGATTTTGGACTGTAGAAAGAGTTGAGTCCCAATGAAGTTCTGTAGGGTTTCTTCTATTCCAATAAACTGGTAAATTATGTCTTTGTTCTGATATTTCATTATATCCAATATAAGCAATATAACTATCTAATGTTTCATTCCCTTTTTCTAAATTAACTTGAATAAGTTTTCCATAACAAATAAGTATATACAAAATAATAAAAACAATGTTTTTCATATGAAATAATTAATTTTTACAGTTCTTATTCTTTTCAAGAGGATCAAAAATTGTTTAAGATAATATCGAACTTTCTACGTAAAATAAGTAATGTTATATTCATCATCTCATATTATTTTGAGTATTTGATTTTATTTAAATTGATTAATTATCTCATTATTAAATTAAAAAAACACTTAAAGTTGAGTTCAATTTGATAATACATTTATTTTTAAAGAGTTATTATAATGGTTAAATTAAATATTAACCGCTAGATTAATCATAACTCTTTTAAATATATATTTTTTTTAAATCTGACATGTTATTTTATTTAAACCAAAACCAAAATAATCTAATTGTGTTGATTTATGCTTTAATCATTTGTGGTTTCAACCACGCTTTCTTTGGTCTACCCATAAAAGAATGAACATGCCACAAATCTATATTTAAAGAAAAAGCAACAGCGACAGTAGAAGTTTCTTTAATAATACTATCAAGAACTCCAGTTGACTCAAATTTTTCCATTAAAAATTTTTCTGGATTTTCAACGCCTTGGAACTCCTTTGTTGTTGTAATAATAAGAGCATCATCATTGTCGAAATAAGACCAATCAAAACATACTTTTGCATCATCTTTTGTATTTTCTCCAATTCTATAATTCCCTCCTTCACAAATCTTTTTGACTCCTGTTGTTTTATTTAATTTAAATACATTAAAATCACCAACAACTAATGACAAAACCGATGATTTACTTTCACCAAAACCACAGTCTTCATTAAAAATAATTAAAAGAGTAAAGTTGACAGGAACAAGTTTATTTTTTGAAAACACAATATCAATATCAGTCATAGTCTCTATTAATGCTTCAACCGTGTTTGTAGCTGATGTAATTGAAGAGAATTGAGTTTCATAACATTTAAAGAATAAACTTGAAAATTGTTGTGAAGCATAATCAGCATTAATTGTATGAACAGGGTCTACAACAAGAATAATTCGATGTGTTGAATATACCCGTGTGAAAATAGTTGCATAATCATTTGAGTGAGCAGCATAAGCAGTCCCAAGTAATCTAATTTTAGATGTGTCTTGTGGAATAATAATTGATTCCATTAAAACATCAGATGGAATTGGTAACATTAAGTATTTAGGAATATCGAGTTTATGACACTGATTATTAGAATGAAGTATTGTTCTAAAAAATTCTTCTACTCTCAGTCGAGAATGTTTTTCCTTTGTTTCTGGTGAGTAGTCACAACTAATAGTTCGTTTTGGTTCTTCAGTACTTTCACTAATTTTCCTTTGAATAAAAATACTTGCCATTACAACTTCTTTTTTCTTTTGTTGTTGATGTTGTTGTGCAATAAGTTCTTTCAAAGAAACGCCTGATTGCTTTGGAGTACTAGGTGTTGATTGTGTTATTTGTTCTTCATCTTGTTTATTTGAATTATTACCACCTTCTGTCTTTTCATTTAAACTTATTTCTTGTTTTATTTCTTCTTCAATTTTTAGTTTTGAATCTAACTGGTTAGAAAGATGAAGAAATTATCTCTTTTGATAAGAAACCTGAACAAACCTTCATTTCCAACAGACATTTTTTATTTTTTTTTAAGTTCATTTCTAAAAATAAATTTTTTATTTTTTGATATTTTTATTAAAACAAAAATAAAATAAATTTTTGTTATTTGAAATTTAAAAAACTCTTCAGAATGAACCAATGTTGTAAATCAGTTTTCATACTTTTGATTTAAAATAAAAATTGACTTATAAACAAATAATAACATAAATATAAAAAACAAAAAAAAATATGAAAAGGAGAAAGAAAAAAAAGATAAAAAATCTGTGAACGAGAAATACCCCTCAAAATAGCTACACATCTAAAAATGTTTCAATCTTAAAATATATCACTTAAAGTTATAACTGAATGTCATTCTTATCATTTCTTTTCAAAAAGAAACAAATGAATATTTTAATTTGTGGGCTTGATGGTGCTGGAAAGACATCAATGTTACTTAAGATGCAAGGTCAAGACCCCAAAACTATCCAAACTAAACCAACTATTGGTTATTTAAATCCAACCTTAAAATATAAAACTTTTGAATGGCTTTTTTGGGATGTTTCAGGAGCTGCTAAATTCAGAGGTCTTTGGAAATCATATTATCCAAATGTTAAGTGTATTGCTTTTGTTTTTGATAATACTGATGAAGACCGTTTTGATGAATCTAAAAATGCTTTATTAAATATGCTTGCTGATTCAGAATTAAAAGGTATGCCATTTTTAATATATGTTAATAAAACCGATAAAAAAGAGTTTGACCAAACTACTTTCAACGAAAAACTTGGTCTTAATGAAACTCAAAAGTTACGTTGCCAAATTTTCCCATGTTCTGCTTATACAGGTGATGGTCTTTTCGAAGGTTTAGATTGGATGTGTTACACTCTTAAGAAAATGACTAAAAACTAATAGTAATAAAATCGGTTCTTCACTCTTTTATATGTTTATTCTTCATTTCTTATTTCTCTTCAAAGAAACTTTCTTATTCCAATACCTTTTTAGATTTTTTTGGGTGAAAATCTTATATCAATAGTTTCTAATAGTTTTTATCTAACTTAGACTAATTAAAAATTAAAACGAAGATTGTATCTCTTAGAATGAAAAGATAACTCCTTTTATTTGGTTGTCTCAAAAAAAAAACAATTCTTATATGAAACCTTCTAAGAATAAATATACTATTAACTCTCCTAAACAGACTTTCGTTAATGGAAATATCAACCAATTTGTGTTGGATAAAATACAAACCTTCCTCCTTGAATTTATATCAAGTTTAAATTGTATCACAACAAACAAAAAATTTGTTGGAACATCTATGTTTATTCGAGACCATTCATTAACAAAAATTGCTCAAGTTTTTATGGTATTAAAAGTTATTCAAGAAGCAACTCTTCTAAACATTTCTGTAACGAAGAGACATATTTATTATCTAGATAAAAATCTCTTTAAACATCAAAGAGTTGTTGATGAAATTGTGAAAAAATTGTCTGAGAGGGTATTTCATTTACCTAAAGAAGATTTTCACGTCGTTGCAGCTCAAAAATCTTTTTTTTGCGGCAATATAACAATAGTCAGAGAGACGAAAACTACACAAATAACATCAGAGAAAGAAACAATAATTCCTTTAATTTCAACTATGAAAAATACTCAAATAAAAACTACAGCTACCCACATTTTGATAATAGAAAAATATACTGTCTTCAGTCAAATTATAAAAACAAGTTGGTTCTCTATGAATAAAAATAATATTCTTATTATTACTGCATGTGGCTTTCCTGACTCTGCAACCAAATACTTCATTAATTTATTAATCTCTTCAAATCAACAAATTAAATTATATTGTATGGTTGATTTCGACCCTTTCGGACTAGATATTTTTAATAATTACATTAGGCTAGACAGAGAATATCCTATTCTATCACCAATTCGGTTATTGTTTTTTAATTACATTCAGCAGTCTATTAACAATATTCCATCTTCTTCAAAAATCCCACTTTCCTTAATTGATCAGAAGAAGGTTTGTTTTGTTAATTAAAATAATCTCACAAATAATTTATCCAGTTAGTTAGTACGTCTGAAATCAAAGGTATTTGAACCACAAATCATAGAAGCAGTAAATTTTTTGATAAAGGTTCAATGTAAATTAGAGTTAGAGGTATTGTCTTTAAAAGAGTTAGAGCAACTATTGAATGACTCATTTAACTTACCTGTTTTGAGTGTTGAAGAATAGTAACAAAAACAGAATAATAAAGTTGTATTTTTCAAGAAAAAAGTTTATTTTTGCTCCTGAATAAAATAATTTAAGAACTTAAATAACAAGGATGATTTAATTATGAGATAAACAAACTCTAAATAATAAAGAAAACAAACTTGCTTACGTCATAAGCGTCAAGTAAAAAAAGTTAGATAGTTTGAACTGAAAAAAACAATGTCAGGAACACCAATCTGCCCAACTTGTCATAAGCGTGTTTATTTCAACGAAAGATTAACTTTCGCTGGTAAGGATTATCATAAAATTGGTTGCTTCAAATGTACTTCATGCCATAAGACACTTGAAATTTCTAAGGCTCGTGAGTCTGATGGTATGCCTTATTGTGTTAATTGTCATGCACAAAAACAAGGACTTAAAGGATTCCAACCAGGAAATGTTCTTACTTCATATACTGGTTATGGTGGAGGAAAAGGAGAGGTTGACAATTCTACTGTTGTTGGTGGTAGAATTGCTGAAGTTGCTGCCCAAGAAGAGGCTGAACAAATGAGAAATGCTCCAGTCAGATCAGAACCTGCTGCTCCATCTGATCTTCCAAAGTTCTGTCCAAGTTGTGGTGCCAAGAATAATGGAGGAAAGTTCTGTAGTGAATGTGGTAACAAGTTTTAATTAATTTACGTTCATCCTCGTAGTAATTTATTTAAGAACATTTATTATTAAATAGAAAATCACTATTCTTTGTATTTTTTATTTTCACTTGAAGGGTTATTTGTTTGTAAAGTTTTTCTTTTTAAATAACATTATTAAATTTCTAGAGAGTGTGTTTATTTAATTTTTTTTTAATTCAGTCTTACTATGGTTGTTCATAATAATTGATAAGTTAAATAATAAGTATTTACGTTGAATTTCTTGTTGTTGGAATTTAATTAATTGAGTTATTATCAATGATCATATACTCTTTTAGTATCAAAATAAATTTGCTGAATCAAACGATTAGCAAATGTTCGTTTTAATTTCTTTTATTTCATTTGGTTTTTAGCTCTTTCTATTCTTTTTTGAAAGACTGGTTTTGTTTATTTGTTTCAGAAAAATAAAAAAATTTCAAGGTATATCATGTTATATAAAATTTTTCTTGTGAGATAATATGATAGGTAATAAATAAAACGTTGTAATAAGAAGAAATGAGTAGTCATATTATTTGATTTATTATCTTTGTTGTATTTTATTTAACATATTCTGAGAAAAATAGAAAAAATCGAACATATTTTTAATTTATCTTGTCAGTATGTTTTATTCAAATAAAACAATTAATATTTAATACTAATTATTTGTTATTTAATATATATTTTTTTATTAATGAATAATACTTTTAAATTAAATAAAGTGTAGATTATATTTTTTATATCTAGATAGAAATACAATATCTAGTTTATTAAGAGTATATTTAATTTTAATTAAGTAGTCAAAATAAGTACTCAATAATTATTATTAAATTATAGTATCATTATTTTTATTATCTTCTAATCATTACCAAATGAAAATTTCTTTTGTACAATATCTTATTAATAATTCATTTTGGTTCTATTGATAGATGAATTATATGGTACTATGGGTAATAGAGTCAAATATAATGATATGAAACAAGTAATATAAAAATTGTTGATGATAAATATTCACATTATAATAAATGATTAAGAATCACAAAGAGTTTATAAGAATAAAGTAATTTCTTAGATGATAAGATTATTTGTAAGTCTTAATTAAATTATTATTATAGAAAAAAAACAAGAACAAAAAACTCCAAATTGTGTCATTTTATTTTTTTTTAAATGGATAAGACTAACATCTTCAAGGAACTTGGTAAACCTCGGAAGAAAGGATTTGGGTCGAGAGATGGACAGTTATTAATTCAAAAAGAAAGGACAGAAGGACTAAGTGATGATGAAAAAAATGAAATGAAAGAACAGAAAAAAAATAAACAGGAAGAAAGCGAAGATTCAGTGTTATTTGTCGATGATGATGAAGTCTCAGATAAAAAACCTGAAGAAAGTATTATTTTTAATGAACAAGACGATGACGAAATTTTCTTTGATGATGACGATAGAATTATTCCATGTGATATTTTGAAGTCAGTTGAATGTAAATTAAGAAGTGAACGAATGAAAGAAAAAACGAATTTTCTTTTAACTGAAGAGAGTCAAATTATTAGAAATAAATTTATACAATATTTATATGATGAGTATTATCAAGATAGAATGACTCCTTTTAATGAGTTAGTTAAATCATTAGTTAAACAAATAGATGGATGTTTAAGCAACTTACAAGAGTTTTGTGTTAATATCATTTCCATTGTTGGAATGACCATAACAAATTATGATTACATATCAAGTATTAGAACAACATTATTAAGTTATGGAAGATTATGGCGTGATATTAACATTGAAGACACATTTGAATCAACTGACAATATTGTTATTATAATTGAATTACCTGAACAAGAAAAGTATATTGAAACTGTTTGGAGAATTGCAGAGTCATTAAGAAAGAAATTAGTAGTGTTTATAGTTGGAAATACAACAGTTGAGTGTGATCGATATTTGCTTGGACATGATTATCCAATGATTAAAATAGCAACTATTTCAACTAGTACAACACAATTAATTAATCAGTTTGAATATATACAATTAAAAGAAACTATCATTGGTAAATTGCCATTGATTCATCCATCAATAATATCATATAATATTATGTTATATAGAGATTTTCATCATTCATACAAGTTATTCATTCAATTTATAATTAGACACATAGAACATTCAGTGATTTTTACAAATCCTTCACTAATAATACCTCAGTTTCTTGATGGAATATCTGAAGCAGATGAAACAGTTAAATTGGGGATTGAACAAACTTATGACTTTTTATCTGTTATATTTACTCGACTCTTATTCTCAATTCAAACATTATCACAAATTCAATTTCATAAATTATTACCACCATACACATCACTTCTTAATATTTCTGATATTGCACAACCCTTATTTAATTTTAATTTTCCTTCACATTTCAATAAAATTAATATTCCTGAAGATGCTGATGATGAATTAAAAAATATTATAAATACAATTAATTCATCTCCATCTTCTGAAACATTTAAATTGCTATTAGATTATATCTCAATAACAATAGGTACAATTAAAACTTTCCAATCAAATTATCAATCAAAAGTAGAATGTTGTTGCGTTTCAACTAAAATTGATTTTAACTCTTTTTCTTTATTTGATATAATTCGTCATTGTGAAGATGGTAAACCTAAAGAACAACAAATATTTACAGATTATAGAGTGATATTAAACAATGTTAATAGAAAAGGCATTATTTCTGTAGAAAATTGTCTATCACTCTTTCCTGATAAATCACCTGATGAGATAAAAACTTTAATAAAAGAATTAATAACATTTGGATTATTTGTTCCTCATAATGACGAACTTCGTTCAACAGAAATTGTCATTACTTCTTCTATAAATGAATAATTTATTAAATACAATATTCTTTTTTTTTTCAAATAATGTTAAATATAACATTTTGATATAAAAACTAGAAGTTTAAAACAATTCTTTTTCATGGATAATCAATTTTTAGGTTCATGTTTGAGACTCTATTGAATGAAAATATTTTATTTGTTTCTTCTAATTTACTTAAACAAAATAAATCGTTTAAATTATATTATAGTTTGAAGACTTTATTTTAGTTTCTTATTTATTCCTTTTATCTTAATTGATAATAAGTGTTTTTAATATAATTTTTGAATTAACAATTCACTTAATATAACTAACACAATAACTCATATCGAATAAAAGAAAAACTAAATGTTGATTTTAGAAAAAATAAAATAAAAGAAGATAACGTTTTATGAAAAAGAGTTATCGTTAAGACAATGTTTTTAATAGGGTGTGGTTTATCTCATAAATTTACAATTAAACAATACTTTTATTATTTTTTTTCAAGAAAAACTATATTCAAAAAAATTATGAAATAAGATTTTAAATTAACAAAGATTTAGTCGTTAATAATTTTTAAATTACATTGAAAAAGAATATAAAAAATAATTTGTAGGAAGGAATATGTTCTAATTGATTCGTAAAAAAAGAATTTTCTGGGATTTTTGATTTTTCAGTTAAATCCATTTTGTTCTATGACTTAAAAAAGATAGTTTTATAATAATAAAATAATAGTAAAAGTGGAATGAAGGTATTTAAACTAATAAAATGAACTAAATTATCAATTGCTTAATCAAATTATTATGAGAGCTATTATTTTTGTTTTAATCTTTGCTATTGCCTTTGCTGCAACAAGAGAAGGAGCTATTCTTTGCAATCTTTGCAAAGATACAGTTAAGCTCGTTGAAAATCTTTTAACTGTTGATGGTGCACAAGCCGTTAGACAATATATCGACAATCTTTGTGGTAAAGCTAATGGATTCCTTTCAACCCTTTGTGAAAAAATTCTTTCATTTGGTGTTGATGAACTTGTCAAGCTTATTGAAAATCATGTCGATCCAGTCGTTGTTTGCGAAAAGATTCACGCTTGTTAAGTGAAGTCAAAATGATTAATTCAATCATTGTTTTATTCTTTTTTTTTAATAAATATTTTCATTTTTATAAATAAACCATTTTTTTGTTAGAAGTTGTTAGAAAATTAATGATAAGAACTAATAATTCTTAATTCTTCTTTAATTTTTTAGTTGATTTTTAAGAATAAAGAAAATTATAAGAAATAATAAAATAATATAGTAATAAACTATACAAAGAAAGCTACAAATTAAAAAAATAAAAAAAAAACAAAAAGTAACTTAATAAAAAACGAACTGAATAAATATATTTTATTATTAGCGGATGAAAGCTTTATTTATTGCTCTTATTTGCTTCTGTGCATTTGCAGAAGAAGATTTATTCAACCCATTTATTCATGGAAAGACATTATTAAACAGAATGAGAAGAATTAAATCCTCCAGCCGTAGAAATGAAAGAACTTTATTAGCTCTTGAAAACAGAGAAAGAAAAATAGAGAATGTATTAGATATATTATATGATGATATGAAACTTGCTGTTAGTATTGCT